GTGGGCCGACAGGGTGGGGGGTTTTTGGCCGATTGGGCTGACGGGGTTATGGGGCTGGGTTGGGTGGGTGACAGCGGGTTGGGGGGTGTGGTGTGGGTTGGGTGGGTCGTCCTCCGTGGTGTCCAGAAAATGGAAATCATTAGGATTGGAAGATTGGGAAAATGGAAAAGAGGACTCATCAAACACTACATGTCGGAAAACAATGATTTTGTTAGTTTGGAGGTCAAGACAGCGATATCCGCGTTGATTAGAGGGATAGCCTAGGAAAATGCACCGAGCAGAGCGTGGGGCGAGTTTGTGTGGGGCGGTGGCAGTGGTGTTTGGATAGCAAAGGCACCCAAACACACGGAGGTGGGAGTAAGTAGGCGGAGTTTTATATAGAAGGGTGTGTGGGGTGTGGTTGTGAAGTGTGGTAGTTGGAAGAAGGTTGAAGAGGTGAGCAGCCATGTGTAGGGCCTCAACCCAATATTCGGGTGGTAGGTGGGCTTGAAAAAGAAGAGTGCGAACGGTATTGTTTATGGTGTGAATGGTGCGCTCTGCCCGGCCATTTTGCTGGCTAGTGTGGGGACACGAGAAACGGAATAAAATCCCTAAAGAGGCAAAAATAGTTTGGAGGGGGGAGTTGCGATATTCTGTACCATTATCACATTGAACAGATTTAATGGTGGTGTTAAAGTGGTTTTGAACATACTTAGTGAAAAAATTTAGATGATTGAAAGCATCAGATTTTTGTTTTAGAGGAAAAACCCATAAATAATGCGAGTAATCATCTAATAATAACATGTAATGTTTAAAACCAGCAACACTAGGTATATGAGATTGCCACAAATCTGTGTGTAATAATTCAAACGGAAAAGTAGAGACACGACAGGACTGATAAAATGGGAGACGAACATGTTTTCCCAACTGACACGCATGACATAGATTTAGACTAGAATGTTTAAATAAATGAGAAAGACTCGAGACGCCACGGAGAACGGCTGGACTTGGGTGACCCAGGCGCCGGTGCCATGTTTGGATGTCAACTGACGCGCTGAGTGCTTGGGCTTGTGCGGTGGGGCGCAGGGGGTAGAGGGGGCCAACATTATTGGATCGATGTATCACGGTTCCCGTCCGAAGATCCTTCACAGAAAAGCCATGAGCATCAAATTCAATAGAGCAGTGATTGTCACGGGTAAATTGTCGGACAGAAATAAGATTGTGGATAATATGAGGGGATATAAGGACGTTTTTAAGGGATAAAGGAGGGTTAGTGGGAAAAAAATGGTTACCAACAGCCGTAGTGCTAACTTTAGATCCATTACCTACAGTGATATGAAGAGGTGAATTTAAGGATTGAGAAGAGACATGAGAAATAGTACCTGGGTCGGAGGCGATGTGATGGGAGGCCCCGGTGTCCATTAGCCAAGTGGGTTCCCGCA